GGCTGTAGATGGGCTTCTGCCAGTAACAACTACGGGCAAAGGAGGACCAACCTGCTGGGTAGGACGGTGGAATTGAGGACTGGCTTAGGCAGAAGGTTGTGATTGGGGGCTCCAGTGTCTTAATGCATCTTTAGTTCCATTTTTCTCTTTTCTTCACCCTTCCTACTGCTTTTGCTTCTGCCCCATCCCTGCCCCAGGAGCTCCCTCTTTTTTTTTTTTTTTTTTTCTCTTGTTGTAGCGAAACTTTGTTGGGTAACCCCGGCTGTCCTGGAAATCACTCTGTAGACTGGGCTGTCCTGGAACTCAGAAATCTGCCTGCCTCTGCCTCCCAAGTGCTGGGATTAAAGGCGTGCGCCACCACTGCCCGGCTTCTCTGACACTTAAAAACAAGCCGAGGAAAAAGTGTTCCTCACGGTGGATTAAGGGTACCTGTGGTAAGTTACCCACCCTGTGCACCTATGGATTGCCCTTGCTTACAGGTTACAAATCTGAGGATCTAAGGGGGAAAGGGTCAAAGGAAAGGCAGCTTTTCTCCAAAGCTTTTGAATGTTGCATCCTAGAGGATTAGGAATTCATTCAGGCCACAGGGTATTAAAGAGCCACATGGAGTAAATATCCTAAACAGATGTCCTCTTTCACGGTCACCAAGGGGGAAGGAGAGCATGGGTCCCATGTCCATGTTGGGAACAAGATCTGGATGACATCAGTGTATCTTTTTTTTTCTTCAAAGTTTTATCATTTTATGTGTATGGTGTTTTGCCTGTATGTATGTCTGGGCTTCATGCACCTGGTGTCCAGGGAGGCCAGAGAGGGTGTTGAGTCCCTTGTAACTAGAGTTACAGATGTGGCAAGCTACTATGTGGGTGCTGGGAACCAAACCCAGGTGTTTCGAAAGAAAGCTCTTAACTGCTGAGCCGGCTCTCCGGCCCCTCCCCCTTTCTGTCTTTTGTGTGTTACAAATGCGTAGCCATCAGCGAAGACCCCTGAGACTGTTTAACCATGGAGAGCTCCTGGATCATCTTCTGCACATGGGCCCGGCCTAGATATAAACCAGAGAAGAAAAAAAGGTGGCCTTTAGCGGGAAGTATCAAACTCTGTAACTCCTTAACGAGCTGACAGACAGGGCACACAGTCTCCACACTTGTGAGCAGATCCTCCTGTGGAAGGGTTTCCTGCTGGGTGAAGCTTGACCGGCTGTCACAGGTTCCTGTGTCTCCTGAGCATGTCACAATTTCTGCCAGGTATCGTCAATAAAGGAAACACATTTGGAGCACCCCAGAAGCAACAGAGAGATGCACTGGATGTGGGAGAAGCCACTCACGACTTGTCTTAGGGCTTTACTGCTGTGAAGAGACACCATGACCAAGGTAACTCTTATAGAAGACATTTAATTGGGGCTGGCTTACAGGTTCTGAGGTTCAGTCCATTATGATCACAGTGAGAGCATGGCAGCATCCAGGTCGGCACGGCACTAGAGGAGCTGAGAGTTCTATATCTTGTTCCAAAGGCAAACAGAAGACTGTCTTCAGGCAGCTAGGAGGAGTGTCTCAAAGCCCACACCCACAATGACATATTTCTTCCAACATGGCTACACCTCCTAACAGTGCCACTCCCTGGGTCAGGCTTATTCCAAACCACCACACTACCGTAAGGGCAGGAGAACAAGAAAGGGTTAAGTGTCAAGACTGACATCAGGTGTTCTGAGAAGCTATATGCTTGCCTGTGTTCACTCCCCACAGAGTCAGGGTGGCATCAAGTTTTACTACATATCCTGTCCCCAGTGCTACTTGACCACCTCAGACACTGCCCCACCCCGGTAACCTGCCCCTGGCCTGATCACTTTGGCCAGGACTTCTCCTGAAGTCGGAGGATATTGTTATCCTAGTGACAAGGTACAGTACAGATGGGACAAATGGTTCCAAGATTTCTCCCGTGTCAAGACTCAGCTGCCTTCTCAAACGCTGAACAAAATCAGATCCTTAGACTTAAATGGAAAAAAAAAAAAAAAGCAGATTTTCTTTTTTCAGGAGGCACAGACCCAGCATCCCCTAGGATGTCTCCCTTGCAGATGAGGGAATTCACAGCTTTCTCATTAGAGGGGCCCAAAGAAAAATGGGGCAATGAGCTTTTCAAATTGTCTGTTTCTGATTGCAGACAGACACAAACTTGATTTGGGGGTACATGCTTCCAAGTCAGTCACTCCAAGTCTAGGCAGGGAGCGTCTCCAGTGATACATGAGCAAAGGCAGACACGTGTCAGCACAGTCCTCACTGATCACGGGTGCTCACTGCCAGTCACTCCTGACATGAAGCTTAAAGACTCAAAGGAAAGCTTTACCCAGCTCCCACTGGACGATGAGACTCACTGGACAAATCTGTACTGGTTCTAAGGAGCTTTGGGTCCAGCCATTTGTCAGTCTCCTGCCTAGTGTAGACCACTGGGGTCAGTTTTGCAGAGGAACAAATTATCTGTTGTATATACAGTAAATTGTCCTGTGCTGTTTGAGTCACGGAGAAGCTGGTTTTGAAGATGGGATTTGACTCTCCTACTTCAGAACCAACCATGTTTGTCTCAAAATGTCCTCCGAAGCCCCTTCCCTGATCCAGCCTGGCCCCTGACTCTTCTGACAGGGAGAACAGGAAACAAGACAGCCAAAGAGTAAAGGAAAACATTTATTTCATAGTGTATATCTGTTATGGCGGATCTCTGTGCTGCATGAAGACTGCATTGCTTTCTAGAACGCTTTTACCTGGAAACTTACTGCCTGTCACAACTGTATCACTGCAGTGTGAACCAGCCTCGGGATCCCAAACTGTCACCCCTAGATACATCTAGACTCTACCCCTTCTCAGCAGGAATTAACTAGACAGGCCACTGCCCAGAGCCAGGCTATTATTTTATGGTTAAATGTCTTTTCTTCCTCTCTAGAAACTACCCAGAAAGATCTCACAGTAAGTCTGTGAGGAGAAATGGCCAGGGAGAACTGGGATAGGTATCTAAACTGGACCACTTCGGGGAGAGGAGGACCCAGGAGCCCTATGAAATACCAAAGCCGGAGTCACCCATCCTACAGGAATAAAACTGCTTTCTGCACAGCCTCATCTTCTGTCTCCCCTGACCACCCAGGCTTGTGTGGTCCAGGCTAGATGACCCTTGTTACATATGGATTCAACTTGGGTCATGAGACTTGCTTAGGAAGCCTTTCACTGAGCTGCTTGTGTGTACACATCAGGTAGAGGCCAGGGTGGACAGGGGGAGAGGCTAGGCTGTTTTCAGTTTAAGTAACAGAACACACAACTCACACTCATTTGAACAAATAGGGATTTATTTCTTTCACACGTACACACAAAAATAAAACCCCAGCAGTTGACAATCTAAGGCTTGAGGCAGGGCTTCAGTTCTGACCTTGAGGCCCCCCATCTGACAGGTGTGTGCTCCCTCCAGCCCTCAGTCATATGTACCCTCAGGGGCCTACCACACTCCAGGCAGGAGAGGACCTGGCACACCTGATGTCCTCCGGCTCTGGAGAGCCCCCGGTTCACATGACCTCCCTCGCTGGAAGGAAGCTGGGAAGAAGCATCCCAGCTGATGAGAACAGAAAGGGATGGGATCAGGAGTGGGTGTCTGGGGACCAGCCATGGGTGCTGGAGGAGGAATGGGTCAGAAAGGCTCAGCCACAACTGGGTGGAGACAGCAGAGACGATGACATCAGCACTGTGCAAGTCCCACTTCAACAAAGTGCAAATTTTTAAAGGCCAAAGTTAGAAACCTTCAGGAAAATCATCTTTGGAAAAGATTAATAAGTGCCATTTAAATGTAGATTGCACATCAAATGACGTCATTAGCAAATCAGGAAGCCAAGCGTGTGGGAAGGAACCTCTGCAAAGCGAATAACCAGGCTAAAAATAAGAATTCCTCAACATCAGTAAACGGGCTGAACTAAAGCATCAGAGGACGCAGTGACCAATGAGCAGAGAACCCGGCCTGATGGGGAAAAGCACACAGCACAGCTTCTCATACCCAAACTGAACTCTGATGCCCTGTATCGAGGGGGTGGGGTGGAAGGGGAGAACAATTCTCTTCTGAATGCAGCGTAGCTCTGACTAGCAAAACTTCAACTGTATACAAGCTGCAGACCCAAACTTCTCATGATGTCTGAGAACGAAATTCAAGAACATCCAAGGCCACACCGTGCCTAAGCAATGCCAGAGGCCATCTCACAGTCCTGGGTAAGGTCACAGAACAGTCACCAGCATGGCCACCGGAAGGCATCTTGGGCTACACGTCCAGGGCCACAGTAGTTCTGCTCGAGGAGCCGAGGAATACATCCAAACACTATTGAAAAGCACACTTTAACAACCACCGTCTCTGTGGGGAGGGGACAGAGGAGGCCACAGGAGTCAGCGGGTCTGCATTTCCCACACCGCAGAGAAGATACAAGGAAGGGTATACATTTATGCTTCAGTGATGATGAAGGGACTCCATTTTTAGGAGCATATGACAAAAAAAAAACTAATTGTGGAATCATTCCTGTGTGAAAACAGACAACTCTGGGGATGAACTTAGAAACAATTCTTCACAAGTACAGCAAAGCTGTGCAGTGATTGAAGGAGAGCCCACCTGGAAGGTAAAACAGACCCACAAGATCACTAAGTGCTGGGACCTAAGTCTGAGATTCATTAGAGACCCCACAAGACTTACTGGGCAAGTGTGGAGAAAGCAGGCTTTTTCTTTCTTTTTTTTTTTTTTTAAAAATGCCATGTGTGTGGAGAACAGAGGACAGCTTTGGGTGTGATCTTTGGGAAGGACATGTGTGTCCTTTGGCATGGAAGTCCTCAACTGGACTAGTGAGCCCCGGAGACCATCAGCCACCAGAACTGTGATACAAGTCTGTAACTGAGTTATCTCCCAATTTTACAGCAGCTGCTGTCAAGGCGGCTCTAATACACAGAGGTAAATCTTGACTATAACGTGCCTAAATGACTTGTGACATCAGGAAGTCCAAGTTGGAACCAAGAACTAAAGGTCAATCCAAAGACTATGGTGCTTCCTGATGGCAGAAGCCTGATGCTCCAGGTTCCAGGCCTGGCTGTCCTGCCAGCACCACATAACGGCTTGGACACACCCTGCATGTAAGTGCCACAGTAAATAAGCAATGTCTGCTTGGAAAGTAATGTGTCAAAAGGAAGGATGGGGGCTCTTGAGGCTCCATGACAAACTCATAAACCTGCGAAGAAGCTGAAGCTGGCAATTGTTAACTACCTCTGGACACCTGGCCACGGGCAGTTTCTGACAAGGACAGATGGCTCCTAGCAGCTCAGCTCTGCTGAGACAGGATGATGGCACTGAAGAGCCGCTTACTCCATGGGCTTCCACCACTACCCGCAGCAACGAAGTGAACTGGAGAGGCGACGCTGCAGAAATGGCAGCCTTTGCTCGTGAGGTAAGAGACCAAGCCTTACTTGACTGTGTGGGAAGGAGATGAGGAGGAAGGAGACAGACTTGGTAGTCCCCAGAACAGGACAGGGAAGTGACCAGAGCTGGACTAGAGAGGACACAGTTCTCCACGGTAGGAGCCTTGGGTGGCAAAGACTGGAAGCTGGCTGTGTTAATGCTGGCTTTCCACTCAGGCCCGGCTTTGTTCCATCAAGGTACCAAAGGGAGCAGCACTGCTATCCAGCTGTCTTCCATTCCTGGCTCAGCAGCTCCTTCCAGATTACCTCAGTTTCCTCAAGACTTCTGTCAAGGCCCCTCCACCCCAGTGCTTATGACCTAAGGTCACATCCTGTGTCAGTACCCTAGTCCCCAAACATTGCATACTAGGCAAAACTGAGTGAGTCTTGTCTGACCTGAGAGTTACACTTCCCACGTGGCAATGTGACAGCTACCATCTTTCTTCTCTAGTACTGTTGCAAGCCAGAGAGAAGGGACTGGGAATCACCAGAAATGAAAAAAGCCCTTAGGACAGGCACCAGTCTGAGACTGGCTACTTTTATAAATTGTCACACCTTAGCCCTACTGAACAGTCCTCCAGCCTTAGCTGATGTCTGCCTTTGTATAAAGCTACAGGAAGGCAGGAAGGCCCAGAATCCAAACCCTATGTGCTATCACAGGCCTCAGAACAAATCCACTGCCTGGAACCTTAAGGAGCCATCCCATGAGCACAGGCCTCACCTGGGCCCCATATACAGACTCCCTTGCTCCCAAGAGCAAGCCCTGGGATAGGGCAAGATCCTCTTGCTGTGAGGATGCTAACCCTGACCCCAGCCCTGCCCGCTGTCTCAGCTGGGCAAGAAGCAAAATGTATGAAAATACTTTAATTATTTCTTTGAAACAGTTAAGAAATAAGGTTGGTTGGTTTTTATAATCCCAGTAGAAAAAAGTTCACATAAGAGCCCTGGCCTAAGGCCAGGCCCCTCCCAGCCAGGCCGGCCTCTCAGTAGAAACGCTTGTTCCGCTCCTGGCGCTTCTGGAACACCACTGCGCCCACCACAGCACAGACGATGATGCCCAGGAGCGCGCAGAGCAGCAGCAGGAACACCCTCCACCCCGTCAGGGGCCCGCTTCGGAAGTTTCCAGTGGGGTCATCCACATTGTCTGTGGAAAAAGACAGAGATTAATACACAAAGCATGAAGGGGCTGCCTCACAAGTGGTTCTGTAAAACTGGACAGACAGTCACTCCCAGCTCACACCCAGCACCACACTGGCAGAGGGCAGGGGTCAGATGAAACCTACTCAGCTCTGAGGTAGTACTTCAAAGGCTGCGTGACTCCCCCACAAGCAGCTCAGCCTTGCAGTTCCCACAAGTCCTTATGGCCTGTCACTGCTCAGTCCCTCCGCCAAGCCATTAGGGGCAGAGCTAGACATGGAGCCGATGCTTTGAAGAAAGCAGCCATCAAGGGAGTGAACAAATGAGCCGACCACCATCTTGACTGGCCCCTGGGGATGCGTGGGGCGAAGCCATCAGCATTTCTGGGAGCAGCAACCAGAACTGACCAAATGGTGCTATGTGGCAGGATTAACTTAGCTCTAAACTCTGTGGCTGGAAAACTGGCTCAGGAGTTAAGAGCACATACTGATCAAACTTCGATTCCCAACACCCATGGGAGGAGGCTCCCAACTGGCCATAACTCCAGCTCTCGGGGACCCGATGCCTCTAGCCTCCTCAGACACACACACATGCCTTAGTGCACAGAGATAAACAGAGTAACAGAAAAGTTAAAAACCATGAGATATCAAACACAAGGCCTGGTGGCTACACCTGTAATTCCTATACCCAGGGTGGAGGCAGGAGACTCAAAAGGCCAACATCACTGTCAGCTATATAGTGATCAAGGCCAGCCCAGGCTACACAAGATAGAATTTTTGTTGTTGTTGTTGTTTTTCGAGACAGGGTTTCTCTGTGTAGCCCTAGCTGTCCTGGAACTCACTCTGTAGACTGGGCTGGCCTCGAACTCAGAAATCTGCCTGCCTCTGCCTCCCAAGTGCTGGGATTAAAGTCGTGCCCTACCACTGCCCGGCAAGATAGAATTTTTAAAGTGAGATGTCATACTATAAAGAACAGTGTGTTCGGCTTTTCCTAGAAGCCTGGAAAGACAGGATAGGGGCCTATACTTTCAGTGGATCCATAGTTGGCAGCCTATGGCTCTGAGGGATGGTGTCTCCTCCTCCTAACCAGAGCACTGGGTAGAGTGTAAGGCAGAATTGTGCTAGTGGAGGGAACCGAGGCTGCGGTTATAGGCTAACCACCACCTTTCTTTCTGGCTGAGCAAACCTAAGAGTCAGCCCCCAAGTGGTTCACAGAAGCCAGGTATGACAAAGAGTACTTGGCACGTTATGTCTGTGTGGACAACCGACTGACCACACTTTAGCACAGGAAGAAGTGGACACTAGGTGCTCACATGCGTCCTCATTAGGTGTCAGAGCCTCAACAGAATCCACACAGCAAGATAGCAACTCATCCTTTACTCACTCACCAATGCCGACCTGGCCCAAGCTCCTGGCCTCCAGCCACAGAGCCCAGAGCCCAGAGCCCAGAGCCCAGCTCTCACAGGGGCAGCAGGACTGGAGCCCAGCTCTCCCAGGGGCAGCAGGACTGGAGCCCAGCTCTAGCAGGGGCAGCAGGACTGGAGCCCAGATCTCCCAGGGGCAGCAGGACTGGAGCCCAGCTCTAGCAGGGGCAGAAGGACTGGAGCCCTGGAGGGCGGGGCTGCATGCACACACACCTTTAGGGGACTTGAGGAAACTGACACCAGGCTCGATCTTGGTCCAGTCGATGCTTTCCTCCTCCGGCGTCCGCTCTACCGTGAGCTGGAACAGCTTGATAGAGATGATGTCATGGTTGTCTACAGGGCAGAGAGGATCCCACCTCAGAATATGGCCCACTGCCCTCCCCAAAGGGAAGCTGCTCCCTTCGACTCACAAGGGCCCACCCAGAGAGAGTGGGTCTCTGCCCAGCAGTCTCCTTTCCTAGGCAGGCAGCCTCTCAGGGGCTGGGGTACAGCTCAGCGCAGAGCACACGCTTAGTATGTATAAAAGCCTGGGTTCCCGCCCAGGTTTGGAGAAGCTGTGAGTACCCAAGAAGAGAAGACAGAATAGAGAGAAAAGCATTGACTCTCACGTTGGAAATGATCTACATCTAAACTTCAGGGCTTAGTTTCTTTGCAAAAACTAAGCAATATCCATACTGAGCCATGAGGATGGCCAGGCCGTGCGAATGCCATGGAGTCGGGACCCGCCGCTGAGCAGAGGATGTGAACTAAAACCAGAAGCAGACAAAGGCCAGCGTGACCATTCCAGGGCTGCCTCACAATCCGATGGTCTTGTCAGACCCACATGCAGGCTGCAGAGAAGCCAAGGAGTAGTCAGCACCTACGCCTGAGACCTAGAGGACGTGTTCAACACTACCACAGGCACGAGAGATGCTGCAGCTCTTTCTGAGGCGAGGCGCTGGAGTCCATGATGTGACTCCCGGCCAGCCAACTCCACATGTAAACTCAGCACACCGAGTAATGTGAGGCAAGGCTGCTGGGTGGGGAGACGGGGAGCTGCAGTGAGGATGAGGTAGAGGGAGCCACACAGCACGCCGCTGGTGCCCAGGGCAGGCAGGCCCTGCATCTGACACTAAGACACAGACCCTTCAGCAGAGGCCAAGCCTTGAGCATCAGCTTCCGAGTCAGACTCTGGCTGCCACCTGGGTTCTGCCATTTTCTGTTTATCTTGGAGAAATTTCCTTTGATTTCAGTTATGAGAAAACAGAAAGAAATCAGTGCCTGAGGGAACAGTGGCTGGTGTGGTGGCGCACACCTCTGATCCCAGTACTTGGAGGCAGAGGAAAGTGGAGCTCTAAGATTGAGGCTAGCCTGGTCTACATAGAGAATGTCAGGACAGCCAAAGTTACATAGAGACCCTGCCTCCCCCACATCCCAAATAAAAATCCTGGGGCCTGCCTGTCTGGTACCCAGCACCCCTGGGCTATCTCCACTCTCTGCAAGTGGCCACTCACACGGCACTGTGGACATCTACCTGCCACAGACGGCCAGCCATCTGTTCTGTCAGGAGCCCTTCGCAGACATACGGGAGTACTGTCAGATGAAATCCCAGGTAAGCCGGGGGACAGGAAAGAACCAGGGGCATGCTCCGTCCATTACTGAAGCATCTGGCCATGAGCTGCTGACTACTGAAGCTGGGGTGTAGAAACTTTAAAGAGACACCACAACACAAACTCTGGGACTACATGGCCTTGTGCTCTTCCTGGAGAGGAGGGAGGCCTCTGGACAGAGGGGACATTATAGTCCCTAAACGCGTTTATCCCGGGGATAAGTAAGTCCTGCTAGCTCATGCACATCACAGCCTATTTCTGATCAGCTGGAGCTGGGTCCAGGGCCAGGACCTCTCTAAACATCTCTAGTAGACTGGGTCACAGCCAAGGGACACCATTAAGCACCACCAAGGCCTGGTGACCCAGCAAGGCCCCACAGACACTTGTAATCTGGGGAGTGGAGGGACAGAAACACAAAGAAAAAGCACAGGAAACCACACAGCTAATACATGCTCTAAAGAAACTAAAGCTGGGGAAGGGGTGGGGAAGATGTCCTTGGCCTAGAGAAGGGAATGTCACACTTAAGGAAGACACTAAGATGACAACCAGGTCCCAACAGAAAGGACAGGCATCTGGAGTCACCTTCAGCACACAGAGAAGCCGAGGCAGGGAGGAGGCGTGGGAGGGGCCTGGCATATCAACTGGGATGGTGGCCATGACAGTTCTGAGCACAGGGACAGAATGTCAGGGTGCTTTCTATGAAAGGAGGGGCACCACGTGCGCTTCAGTGAGAGACAACAGCTTGAATGCAGCAAGGAGAGAGACAGGCAGGATTTGCCAAGGAATAAGCATGAGACAAGGTCCAGGGTGACACAAGGCGTTGTCCCAGGCAACGAGAAAGACAGGGATGCGGCTTTCCCTGATGGGCAAGGTTGACGTTCACAGGGGCTGAGTGGAGACAAAATGCCTGTGTTCCTATAGATCTGGCGCTAGGAATCCATGCAGTCACAATACCTACACCCACTGTTTCCTCTCACTAAGAGACAAGGGGAAGAGGCCAGCTGACTGCCTGGGCCTGCCCTCGGGCACACCTACAGTTACAGCCAATGGGAACATGAGGGAGGCTCGCAGAGGAGGGAGGCTGGTAACTGCTGAGAGTGCCCTTTCACATACTCACCAGACAGATCGCCGGTGCCAGCAGAGGCTCCAAAGTAATAGCCGGTGGGCAGGCGCACCCCGGTGATATCGATGCAGTTCTTCCACTCGTTCTTGTCCTCCAGGTCAGTCATCACCTGCAGTCAGCGGGCAGGTCAAGCACACGCCCGGGCCCCAGCCTCCATGGAGCCAGCACAGGCTCAGTGGGCTTCCCCCTCATGCCTGCTCACCGTGAGGCGGCCACGGGAATAGCGTACAGCCAGGAAGGTGTCATGGTCCCGGTTGCGGAAGTCAGCTGTGCATCCTGCCAACTCACTCCAGCGTCCATCTTTGCTATGATCGTACGATAGGGAGCCGTTGTTCACCATCACCGAGATGTACGGGAACACACGCTGGAACAGAGACATGGTTACGCCATGCCTAGCCAGCCTGCGGGCACACACCAGCCTGCCCCTGGAGGATACCTCTGACTAGAACCACAGCAAAGTTCTAGTCTCCAGCCTCAAGACACCTGCCCAGGCCTTGCTCGCCTGCCCTGCAGAGGAGAGTGGGGTCTTTACCTCAGTAGTTTCATCATTGGGATATGTGTCCAGGAAGATGGCCAAACCGTGAAAGTTGTCTTTGCTTCCGAACACAGGCCCTGGAATTAGGAGGTACTTTCAGAACAGGAAAAATAGAGATGACCCATGGATACCTCAAAGGCAGCCTGGGCAAAAGTAAGAAAGTCCAACCACTGGCACCTCACCCAGGAAGGAAAAGAACCTTGGAGGACAAAGTGGGTAGGGAAGGGCCCAGGCCTCTCAGGACAGAGAACTGAAGACTGAGGCCTCAAGTTCAAGGACAGCTTCAGCTACATGGTCCCAGGTCAGCCAGGACCATAGCAAGGTCCCATTGAACAGCAATGAAGACTGAGACCTTAACTATGAGGGTAGCTGCCAAGGCCATGTGCTGGGTACTGGCAGTGCCTGATCTAGGACACATGCATGGAGCCACAGGAAGAACCTGAAGCTACAAGCAGCTAGTTTTCTGCAATGGCTCCAGAGGAGGCGCCGTATGCTTTGCCGGTTGCAGTCTTTGCATAGCCTTTGTGCTTGGCCTTTAAAAATGGCAGAATGGGCAGTAAGGTAAAGACCTTTGTCACCAGGCCTGGTGACTTCAGTTCCATCCCCAGGAAATACATAAGGGCAGAACTGACTTCACCAAGCTACCCTTTGTTCTCCACAGGTGCTGTGATATGCACGCATGTGCATCAACACACAAACATTTCTAAAATCTATGGGAAAGTGCCCAGGTGTGGTGCATACCTGCAGCCCAAGTTGAAAGAATGAGGCAAAAGGAATATTTTTATGTAAGGCAGCCTGGGCTAATGAGTTGAAAACCAGACTGTGATATATAGTCAAAGTCTCTAAGAACCTAAGAATAGTAAGTAGTCCACATCAGGAGGGGTGGGGTGGGCTGCAGCAAAGGCTCTCCCGCCGCCCTGACCAGAGCAAGGCCAGCAGCAGTCTCCCAACAGACGTGCAGAGTAACCACAGGCAGGCCACCTGCCAGGTCCACCCACCGCTACACCCATGCCCACCCCACTGTTTGGGTGTGTGCACCTCCCTACCTGGTACAAGGCGGTCTCGGGTGTACCACAAGGCGATGCCATCTCCATGGAGATTCTTCTTCCCTGTGCCATGGACTTTGAAGTGGACATGCATTTCCCAGTCCTTAAGGAAGCACGGCTGCAAAGGGAGCAGAGAGGCCCTCAGAGTTACCAAGGCTTTCAGGCGAGCTGGAGTGCAGCCTGGCACGTCCAGGTCCACGTGCTTACTCCCCACTCCACCAAAACTAGGCAACCACTTCAAGGTCCAGGGCCAGGCAACAGGACCTGAAGTGATATTGGCCCCTACATGAGTGAGGGAGACCAAATGGTGTCGAGGCCCCGAGACTCAGCCCCTGCCAACCCAGGCTTTTTCCTCAGCGTGTAACCCCAGTCCTGCTTTACCATCCTCATCAAGGACTGCCTGTCTTAGAACCTTAGCGAGGATCACCAGCCGAATTTAAGCCACGTATTTTAAAGATTTACTTATTTATTTTGTATATGTGAGTACACTATCACTGTCTTCAGACGCACCAGAGAGGGCATTGGATCCCATTACAGATGGTTGTGAGCCACCATGTGGTTGCTGGGACTTGAACTCAAGACCTTTGGAAGAGCAGTCAGTGCTCTTAACTGCTGAGCCATCTCTCTAGCCCTACATATTTTAAACTAAAAAACAATGACTTTGAGACAAAATAACTTGTCCATAACTGATGAGAAAGTGATCTTGATTCATACCCAAGTCTGAATGAAACTCTGGCTAGTTCCTATACTCCCCACAGCCTGCAGGCATTTAATGTAAATTAACCTATTCCTTTCTACAGCCCTCTTCCAAAACCCTCCCAAGGAGAGGACAGGCTGGAACTCAGCTGGAGCTCACACCCAAGTCTGGCCTCAGGCAAACCCAGCCCGGCCTGATCTCGTACCAGGACCCCGCTGGCTGTTCAGGGCTGGGCTCGTGCCACCACCAGCAGAAGCACAGGCTCCCTCCCAGCACTGGAGGGCATCAAGTGCAGAGACAGCTCTCCTACAGAGATTTGCTGCTCATTACCAGGAGGCTCTGTCGTCACACTCCGCCCCAACAGGTGGTGAAGCCGGAAGCTGGGGCGTGGTGGACCGTGTCTATAGCCAGCAGTCAGGAAACATTCCACTGTGGGGCTAGTCGATTTAACACCCAACGCTGATGAAGGCTCGGAGACACCTCTTCATGTATGGGGTTTCAAGCTGCACTCCACTCTCCTTCCTGTTGATTTCCCTCTTCTCCCACCCCCTCCTCTTCTAAAAAAAAGTTTTGTTTTATTTATCTTTAATGTTCACTTTGTATGTCTGTGTGAGTTTTGGATCCCCTGGAACTGGAATTATAGACAGTTGTGAGCCGCCATGTGGGTGCTGGGACTTGAACCTGGATCCTCTGGAAGAGCAGCCAGTGAGTGCTCTTAATTACTGAGCCCTCTCTCCAGTCACTACCACCCCCTCCCTTTTTTTTTTTTTTTTTTTTTTTGAGACAGGACTTCTCTGTGTAACTGGAATTCCTGTTGTAGACCAGGCTGCCCCTCAACTCAGAATCACCTGCCTCTGCCTCCCAAATGCTGGGATTAAAGGCATGTGCCACTTTGCCTAGCCCATTTTTTCCTTCCACCTCTCTCCCTCCCTCCCTTCCCTCTTTCTTTCTCATTAAAGTGTGTGTAAGTGTTGTTCAAGACGGGGGGGTGAGGGGGGGACAGCTTGTTATGCACCCATGGCTAGGCTCCTGTGTGCTGAGTGCTGTGATTACAGGTGCTGCCACACTCCACTGGATCTGTTTAATAATGCCAACCTCAAGAGCACATGGACTTGGATCCACAGATCCTGGGAGAAGAATAAAGGTTGAAATGGTAGCTGAGCAAGACTCAGGTTGCTCAGAGAAAGACAGAGGTGGCAGCAAAGGAGGAGGACACTCTAAACTGAGGGGCTGAGGGTGACCTCCCTCAGAATGACCTGTGGTACCCATGGACTTATAAGCTGTAAGGTAAAGCAGACCCTTTCCTCCCCAGGCAGCTTTTGGTCATCGCAGCAATAGTAACCCTGACTAAGACAGGAGCCTACCTCTCCCTCTCCCTCACCCTGAGCCTATACATCTGTGAGGATGCCGTAAGCCCACTGCAGATGAGCTGGCTGAAGGAGACAGCCAACAGCAGCCAGCACAAGCGACCTCTAACATCATCAGAAGCCCGTCCTCACAGACGGCAACCTGGGGGCCTGATGGCTGACAGCAGCCATGGCAACCTCCAAGGCACCACAAGGGGTGAAGACGGCTGTGTGCCGGACTCCCAGGAAAAGTCACTCCCCCAAGGCATTACTACTTCTGCACTTTTAAGCCTGCCCCCCAAATCCTGATCCTCAAGGTCAAGAAGGTGACTTTCCAGTTGTGTTCTTAGCCATGAACAACACTGTCCCCAAGCACTCAATTAGAGTGGTCCTGTTACTGTCTGCACAGTTCCCAAAGGGAAAAGGGCCTGGCTTGGGAACAAAAGACAAACAGAGGAACTTGATAGCACAATGAAACATATTATTCTTGTAACCAGGAAAATTTCAGTCCAAAAATTAAAATATACTATGTCCCACCACCGATAGTGTGGCCGGTGTGCTGATGGCACTGGGGAGCCACCCTGGCCACAGAACAGGAGCCAGCAGGTACCTGTATGACAACTCACACCAACATGAGCTTCCCCAGTTCTGGAATCTCACTAGTCTCTGCTCAGCCACGAACTGGGGAGAGATGGTGACAGGTAGCCATCAAGACAGAAGGACAAGGAACCTGATCCAAGGTCTGCTGGGGGGATGGAGGCCTTGTCGGGTTGGGAATGAAAGTTAAAGAAAGAACACTGGAGGTGCCACCCAAGGAGGGACTCAGCTCCATGTTAGACCCTCTTTCTGGATTAGGGCTAAGTAACTCTGCCAATCTCAGCAGGGATGACAACTAACGGACACCAGAGAGACAGGCAGGGTGTGACTGAAACCCAAGAAGGCAGAGGAGCTACACAGACTGCACTCTGGTAACTACAGCCAAGGAGTCAAAGGACAATTAAGAGAATTTAGCAGGCTAGTGATATTCTTAGACTCTCCCTAAGAAACAACATTTCAGAACAATATATGATAACATAAGGGAGAAACCTAACAACAGATGAAGAGATAATTAATATATCCAAGGTCACTCAGACAAATACCAAGAATGGTACGGGTGGCGGGGGGTGGAGAAAAGATTCAGAATTGACAGTGAGATCCCAGAGTAAAAGGCACAAATAATTCAATTCCAAATCAAGACACACAAGACTGGACCAAAGCAGCAGAGATCTGTGATAAACCCCAACAGTCCTACAGCCAAGGAGAGTAAGGATGTGAACTGAGCGTACACCCCAACGTAAGAATGCACGCTGAGAGCTGCGGTTGTAGCGACTGCCTAGACACTATAAACCTCCATCCTGACACTATAAACCTCCTCAAAAAGATGACACCCAGGGGTGGGTACTGGCCGTTCCTAGTCTCTCTGTGCTCTCTCCCTTTCCTGTATTTCCAATGTGATGCTGTTTGTGTTGTTTAAGATGTACTTTACTATTTTTAATTATTGCAAGTGAGCACAGGTGTCGTGGCGGTCAGAGGCTTGGGTTACACTGGCTATTGTGTCCTGTTCAATGTTGTTGGGAAGCTAACTCAGGACTTCTGCAAGAGCAAAGCATGCCCTTAACCACTGAGCCATCTCTCCAGTCTGTTTTTGTTCTTCCTGAGACAACACAAAGTCTCACAATCTGAGCTGCTCTAGACTCACTATCTATACCAAGGCTGGTCTTGATCTCCACACGCCAACTCCCAAGTCCCTCGCCGGCATTCCCAACTTCAGCATTCCCAAGGCGAAACTCATGCCTTTCGCCTTGAGGTAAGAAAGGGCTACCAGAGCCAGCACCCTGATATCTATCTGGCCTTTCAGACTCCAAACTTAAACTCTTTCCTTCCTTGTGAAATTCACCCCTCCTTACATCCTTCATTACAGTAGCAACCAGAAATTAAAAAAAAAAGTAACAGATTACCTTCAAAGAGCTAACAATTAGCAAGACAATTTCAGACAAAGAAAATAAAACAATGAAAAGCATGAATTACCAGCAGCCCTCTCACACTGTCTGTCTGTCTTTCCATGTTCGTGGAGAAGGAAAATGATTCGATCCACATGGAAAGTCAGAGGTTCAGGAAGAAAGAAGAGCGAACAGTCAGTTCAGAACTAGAACTACAACTGGCTGCACAGTACTGCGCAGCTCACCACAGAGGAGACTAGAGTAAAGGTCGGCACGAGGTGAACCTAGAGTTCTAAGATCCCAGCACCATCCAGGGAGAAAGTAAAAGTAGACATTGTCCTCAGACTCTGGCAGAACGTGCGTGGCACGCATGTGTGCATGCACACATGTACAGCTGTGTATGTGTGCGTTTGGGGAAGGTTGTTTTCGAATGTTGTAGATCAAAGCCAGATTTTGGGCACCTCCAGCCCTGTCATTTAACATAGGGTCTTGGTATGTAGTTCAGGATAGACTTGAGCTAGCAAACACCCTGCTTCTGCCTCCTGCGTGCCTAACGTCTACAGCACCTGCCATCTGGGTACCTACTGCCCAGGATAACATAAAAAACTGAAAAACAAGAGGATGGCTAAGCAGATAAAGAACAGTGGCTCTTCCAGAGGCCCTGAGTTCAGTTCCCAGCACCCAGCACCCTTAACTGCCCCTAACTTTAGTTCTAGGGCATCTGATGGGGCCTTCTGGCCTTCACAGGCACCTGTACACATTTGCACACACAGACAAGCATAAATATAGATAGCAACAACAATTATAAAAACCCCGAGAAACAAGCTTACAACTTCCAGACTAATTAGAGGCAAAATGAGCTCGGGAGAGCTGGCTCTGAGGTTAAGGGCACTGGCTGCTTCCAGAGGACCCTGGTTCAATTCCCAGCAACCTCATGGCAGCACACAACTGCCTCTAACTCCAGTTCCAAGGGACCCAACTCCCTCACACAGACATACACGCACTAATACACATACAAAAATTAAAAAGAATTATCTGAAATATAAATAAACACAATATCCAATAAAAGAATTATCAAAAGAAGTTTTTAAAGAGAGAGAATGAGTAAGAAATAGTCAACTCAAGTTGTTCAGACCAGAGAGAAGAGGGTAGGGAAGAAACCGGTAAGAGAGGTAAGAGAAAAGGCTAACCCTAATATGTCAGGAAGTGAGATAAAATCCAAATCTTGGCTCTGGATTGCTCCCCTTCCCCTTCCCCTTCCCCTTCCCCTTCCCCTTCCCCTTCCCCTTCTCTGCTGCAGTGCTGGGATGAACACAGTGTATCAGACAGCCGCTTCTTCCCTAAGGAAGGGCATGGAACTTGCTAGAACTCCCTTTCTTGTCTCTAACCTTTATTTATCATCATCTGTGGGAAACACAGGACTGTGTAGAAGAGGAAACTGGGAGTCAGCGCGCTCCTTCCCTGTGGACTCTGGGGTTCAAGCCAAGCTGTCAGCCTGGGCAGTAGGCCCTCTTATCTCCTGAGCCATCTCCATGGTCCTTATTTTTCATCTTAGAAATAAGGGTTTGCTAAGTTGCTCTGGCTGGCCTTGAACTCACTTTGTAGCAGGTAGGCCTTGAACTTGTTATCCCCTGCCTCAGCCTAAGTAGCTGGGATTACAGGGTCATGTCAACAGGACCAGCTTTTTATTATTTCTTTTTCAATTGCATGTGACTCTACAATATTTCAAAATAAAAGTTCTGGCTGGGCATGGTGACTTACACTTCTTATCCTAATACTCAGAAGGCAAAGGTAGAAAAGATTTAACATACTTTATACCATAGATAGAAAAAAAAAGGAGAAAAATTTGAATTAAAAAAAAAAAAAAAAGTCCAGGAATAGAAATCCTTGACCATGGCACGAGTAAAACTAGGTATCAATAAGTTAATGTACCAAACTACCCAGAAAGCTCATATGCATTTAAAATGAATTTAATTTTCTCATGTAGAAGAGGCAGCCCCCTAATTTCTCTCAGATGGGTCCTCTGCTGCTTGTGGTGGTTTGAATAGAAATGGCCCTACAGGCTCACATGTTTACTACATGGTCAAGAGAGAGTGTCACTGCTTGAGGGATTAGGAGGCATGGCCTTGCTGGAGGAAGTGTGTCCCTGGGGGTCAGGGAGCCCCTGTCTTCCTGCTCTCTGGGCATTGGATGCAGAGCTCTCAGCCCCTCTCCAGCAGCATGTCTGCCCATGTGCACAAGCCACAACTAAATGCTTTCTTTTTCAAAGAGTTGCCATGGTCATGGTGTCCCTTTACAGCCACAGAACACTAAGACCATTCCTGAAGATGACATAAAAGGAAAGAGCCCAAGCTAGTGCAAGACCAGCCTTGGAACAAAAGGACAAGGGAGAAGGGAAGGGGAAAGTACATTTGCAAGGTCAGTGTCGTGAGGGCACAGATGGAAACGAAGGGCCCAGAAAGTCCCATGGGACCACAGGGCCCCCAACACCTTTATGCACCCCAGACTGAAGATTGCTGATCAGCACAACAGGGAGCCTCCAGGAGACTTAAATCAGATGCAGTGTGGTTTGAATTACTTCTAAGCTGCTTTGTGGGGCCATAGTTCTTACCCCTGAGTCCACAGAAGTTCTAATGCCTTGTTAGCACACTGGAACAATGGAAACAGAAGCACCTTGCAGAAAAAAGTCATTTGAAGTTAGATAGCTTCTACATCTCTGCTTGAACAAAACAAAACACAGCGACATCAGTCAGCTGAGAGATCATTACAGGGATATCATCTGTAGTCTGAGACAGGAGGATAACTTGAGCCCAGAGTTCAAGGCCAACCAAGAAAAACAGCAAGACTTTACCTCACAGAATAACAGACAAAAAGCATTCCAGAGGCAGAGGAAGGCAGATCTGAGTTCTAGGCTAGCATAGTGGCCTTGCTATTCCAGGCCAGCCAGAGCTATATTTCTAAAATAAAATCAAAATACACACTATGGGCTAGGGAGATAGCCAGGTTAGTACATAAGGACCCCACATTAGAGAGCCTGCCCTGGTGACATGCATTTATGCTTCCAGCCCTGGGAAGAAGATAAGTGGATGCCTGGCACTCACTGGCCAGAGAGCAAGCTCCAGGACAGTGAGACTCTGCTCAAGAGACAAGGCTGCTGACTCCTAAAGAACAGCATCTGAGGCTGACCGCTGGCCTCCACTCGCATCTACGCACAGCCGCACCACCCACACAGCCCTGACGTGCTCTGACAATGGTGGGACAGCCTGGATGTCAGCACGTGGGAAACTGAGCAGGAAGACCGGGAATTCCAGACCATCCTGGGCTATGTAGCAAATGTGAGACCATCTCAAAAACAAAACAGAAACCCAGTGCTAGTTAGAGCTTACTCTTATGACCTCCTTTATAAGCCTTTCTTCAATGCTGGGAGCCGAACCCCGGGCCCAGGCAAGCACCTCACTGTCCCCCTCACTCCTCTGCAGATATTTAAGCCCAAGACAATTTCTTCAGAGGAAGGAGTGCTTTTTTTTAAGGTATGTGTACACGCTAGAGAATGTCAGAGAGTGTTGACTACTCTAGAGCTAGAGATTTAGGCAGTTATGAGACCCTCAGTGTGGGTGTTAGGACCATACACTCAGGTACACAGAAAAACCATCTTCTGCAAGAGCAGCAAATGCCATCTCTCCAGCACCCTCACCTTATTTTAAAGAAAGGCCCCACCCCACCCCCCTCCCTTAACTGGCTGGCCAGCAAGCTCCAGGAGCCTCTTGTCTCTGTCTCTTCAGGGCTGGGACTACACACAGCCAGGCACCAGGCTCTTCACCTGAGTTCGAAGGATCTGACCTCAGGTCCTCACGCTGGTGCTGACAACACTGGTCAGCTGCCCCTCAGCCTGTGCTGCCTCCCCAGCCTGTGCTCCCTCCTCAGCCTGTGCTGCCTCCCCAGCCTGTGCTGCCTCCCCAGCCTGTGGTCCCTCCCCAGCCTGTGCTGCCTCCCCAGCCTGTGCTGCCTCCCCAGTCTGTGCTGCCTCCCCAGCCTGTGCTGCCTCCCCAGCCTGTGCTCCCTCCCCAGCCTGTGCTGCCTCCCCAGCCTGTGCTCCCTCCCCAGCCTGTGCTGCCTCCTCAGCCTGTGCATCAACTTTTAAAAACAAAAGGAAGGGACACATACTCTTGAACTGGCACAGTAACAATATGTAAGCTTAAGTCCCCTGCTTCTGCCTTTACACAAAGCTCCCTGCAATGTGAGCCTCTGTGTGCTAAGCTCCAGACATTAGGCACTTGGGAGGTTCTCCTCACCCAAGTCACATGACAGCTCAGAGGGCAGGGAGTACTCGGAAACGTTTACTCAGGTAAAGGAGATTCAAACACACAAAACACAACTGCAGAAATCACCTCTGCAGTTCTGTCAGGAGGAAGTATTTCTTTGAAAACATTAAACAGAAAAATCTAAGAATTCCAAGTAATCTCTTTCAAGTATAAATGTTCTCCATCCAAACATTTACAAACTATTATCAGGGTCCAGCAGTAAAACTCCAAGAGCTGAACACAGGGAGGCTGTAACACAACAAAGCGAGGGCAGAGTGCTCTCGGTCCTGTGATATCACCAAGCTCATCAGTCACTTACAAACCTAGTACAGATGTGTCTGTTACTTGTGGATAAACCCAGATCCTAAAAGTTCTATCAATATTTTTATTTTGCTTTTTACAAAACAAAATGCAATGCTATATTTAACTCATTTATGTGAAAAATACAAGGCTACATTACCACCTAAAAAAGTAGCACCCAAACTGTATGTGTAGTCCAGGAGTGAGATGCTTGCCTTGTCTGGCATGCACAGGTCCTGGGTTCAATCTACAGTACCACAAAATAAAATAAAAAGGTTAGAACAAAAGAAAGTAACTGAAAAGCCGAACCAGAATGATGTGACAGACTTAGGGACATGAGGTTTAGTCGAGCACTCGGTGTGCGTGGCATCTGAACGCAGACTTAACAGATGAGAACCAAGGAGCAGTCACGAAGAACCAGGAGGCACTGTCCCAGACAGACTGAACAAGACAAAAGCCCCTGAGGGAAGAAGGCGGCCAGACAGACAGGCTGGAACAAACTGACAGAATGACTGGAGATGCCAGTCACCAAGGGACAAGCTGTACTGAGAGAATGTAGTTTGCCATTCATGAGAGATCTCAGGCTAAGGGTCAGAGCTGAATGGAGAAGAGTCACCACAGACGGCCCTGGCACCAGTGTGGGGGCGGGAGGCAGGGAGAGAGGAGGTGTTGGGGGGATGAGACAACAAGGCAGCACAAGGACAGTGCAGTCTCTCAGAACTAATGACAGAATCAGCCAGAAGGGCCAAGAGAGTACTGTGATGGAAAAAACTAGGCCACTGGCCGACAGCGGAGGCAGGAGGGAGCATGGCCTATCCCCAAATTACTTAATCTCTCCCCTTTGCCAACCTACACTTCTTGGTGTAGACGCTGCACACCACTGCTAACACACCAAGGCAATGACACGTCAGGCTCCCTGCTCTAAAGGCAGAGGCCACAGATGCTAACCAGGAGGCATCGAGTGGATTAGGGGAACCGAGGAGGGTGGGGATCAGAAAGATGAGTTGAAATACTCTTTGTTCTGTTTGCTGGCTACACCACCTCAGCATAAAGTCACGAAATCTATCTATTCCAAACACCTTGTTCGAGAATTAAATCTGATAAGGTGTGGCAAGGGGACTCTCGGCACCTTAGCTTCTTGCTTAAGTCATGTAGATGTGGACATCATTACTTACCTTGTATGGTTTCTGAAGAAATAAATGGAAGCGTTAAGAGTCGCGCACAGTTTCTGACACACAGTAACTATACAAGTCTCTCTTTACGATTTGTGTGACCAGGACAGAAAATCGGCAGGACAAAAAAAAGAAAAAAAAAAAGGAGCACATGTATATAGACTAAGCTTGACTGGTGAGGAAGCAGGGATTATTGCATCGGTGAACGGCTATATTGAGCCTCTTGGGAGAGACTCACCTGGTGGTTCCAAATAGAGCCCTCTTTGCTGCGCTCGTCAGGGGTCAGACGCACGTACTGGCTCGTAAGCATCGTGCTGCCTTGGAAGTCCCAGAGCGGCATGGAACTGGAACCGACCCCTGTGGGCAGAGACGGACATGGACAGGTGCTCAAAAGGCCGCGCCAGAAATCTACTGCGCTGCTCAACAAAACGGCCATGCCCTCCTCCAACCCACTGCAGCCCCGCGTCCTCACCCTTCACTGCAGGCCTCACCTTGGTAGGGCTTGATGAGCGAGTGCTCCCGCTTGAGGTGTTCACTGTTGCCGTCGGTTATATCCGCAGCCACCAGCCCCAGCAACAGAAGAAAATGTAGAAATGTAGTGGGGCCCGGGCCGGGGCCAGGAAGCCCAGGCTTCCCTGGGCACCGCTGACCCCAGCCCCAGCCCCAGCGCCAAAGCCAGGCCTCAGCCGCCATTCTCCTTTTCTCTCGGCCACTTCCGCCCTAAGACTTCCGCCTTCCGGGTGTCTTTTCTAATGGTCTCCGGCCGGAAGCCCTCCAAACTAGAATCACCGGAGAGTCGAGAAGGAAAGCCTAACAGTCAGCAGGGTGGCAGCCTTATTGGCTGCCCAGCCTCCTATTCTAGTAGAGCGTGCTTCCATAACTTTGGAGGTCCCTCGGTCGCCAGTCAGGCGACAACAGCCAAAGGTTCTCATGAGCGACAAGGGATCCAGCCAATCACGGAGCAGCACGTTAGGCTTGCGGGCCAACGAAAAGCAGAGATCTCTTTTGGGCTGGAGAGAAACGAGCGTCGTCTTTGAAGTGGAGCATGCTGGAACTTGTAGTTTTCGTGGGCTGCTTGTGCAAGCTGAGCACACTGCTCAGTCCTAAGCTTCTGGAGAATCCTGACTTTGAAGTGACCTTTTCAGTACAGTGGGAAAAGCAGCACTGGAGTGAAATAGAAAGTCTGGAGTCCAATCCCAGCGCCACCCTGGACTCGGTGGGTGGGGCAAACCCTTTAGGCCACCTCTAGCTAGTTCCACTCCTCTGGAGACTTAAAAAGGCCAGTTATTTGAGGACCCCCATTACCCTCATTCATTACTCAGGCACAGTCAGATCGAAGCAGGACGGGCAGACCAGATCTTGACCTGGGACCTCAGTGAAGGCCGGAAGTCATCTGGCTCCACAAAGTGTCAGTTCCAGTAAGAAGTGTGCTGGCTAGTTTTATGTCAACATGACACAAGGTAGAGTCTTTTGAAAGGAGCAAACATTTGAGCTGAGAAAATGCCTCCATAAGATCCGGCTATAGGGCATTTTCTTAATTAGTGATTGATGAGGGAATGTCCAGCCCATGGTGGGTGGAACTGAAGACCTGCGCAGAGGGGAGACCCTCACTCAAGTCTCAGAAAGTCGCGACCACCCAGTAATCTGCTCGAGACACCGTGTACCGGAGCAATATCGAGGCTTATTAGGGCATGTGACAGCTAGCTGCCGGTCAATTCACATGCCTACACAGGAGCTGAATTGACCCCAACAGCCAGTTTGAGAGGGGTTTTTAAGGGGAAAAACCACAAACCAAGGAATAGGGAGGGGGATGAGGGGTTACTAAGGTGGCATAACATAAAAATAGTGGAACATTCCAAAGGAACCCAACCTACGAGAGTCAGGGTCATGTGAAAACTCTCTGTATGCTAATCTTTCTCAAGAATGTGGTCCCGCCCTGTTACTGCGGCCTTGCCCTGTCACTGCGGTTCCCAGCTTGGTTCCCAGCTTGGTTCTACCTAGCTCACCTGCATTCTTTTCTTTCTCTTTGCGGTCAGCCAGTTCCAGTAATGGTGACTGGTCTTTCTACATTCTTAACTTGCTTCATGGCTCGGTTTCTTCATGTCTTTATAAAGAAAGCCTAAAGAATATTTTATATGTCTAAAAAGGATTCTATATACCCAGCATCTATAATTTTTCACTCTACAGAACCATCTCTGGCCTGGTGGTCTTGGGTTCTATTTTAAAAAATAGGCTGAGCAAACCAGTAAACAGCACTCCTTCCATAGTCTCTGCATCAGAGCCTGCCTTGTTTGAGTTCCTGTCCTGACTTTTCTTTAGTGATGAACAGTGATGTAGAAGTATAAGTCAAATAAATCCAATCCTCTCTTTTTATTTTTTAAGATTTATTTATTTTATTTTTTATGAGCACACCGTAGCTGTCTTTAGACATACCAGAAGAGGGCATCAGATCCCATTACAGGGGGCCATGGGCCAACATGTGGTTGATGGGATTTGAACTCAGGACCTCTGGAAGAGCAGTCAGTGCTCTTAACCGCTGAGCCATCTCTCCAGCCAAACCCCAAATTTCTCAAAGTTGTGTTTGGTCATGGTGTTTCATCACAGCAATAGTAACCCTAACTAAGACAAGAAACATTCTTTTCTGAATATCTCCCATCTATAATTAGTTGAAACCACGGGTCTAGATCCTGCTGATTAGAGGGCTATGTTTATAAATATATATTGTGTATATGTGTGTGCACATAGATACATAGAAAGAGAACACACATGTACAACAAAGGCCCTCTGCCTCTTGTCTCCTACTGAGCACCCCCTTCAGAGACTTCCATGCTCCCGTACACACTAGAGTGTGTGCATTGCACTGAACTTCACTGGAGGGCTCAGCATGTCAGGTGCAGTCACAGCTGAGTCCCAAGAATGTAGAGAAGTGCACCTGGGAAGTAATTAACTGGTGAAAGGACATTTGTTCTAGAACCTGTCACTGGGTCATGGAGAATGAGGAGGAGTTTATCCAGGAATTGTCTGAGAAGTGTCTCGCAGCAGAGGAAGTGGAACTAGGGGTATGAACTTAAAAAGAAACACAATGGGGGGCTGGAGAGATGGCTCAGCAGTTAAGAGTACTGACTGCTCTTCCAGAGGTCCTGAGTTCAATTCCCAGCAACCACACGGTGGCTTACAACCATTTGTAATGGAATCAGATGCCCTCTTCTGGTGTGTCTGAAGACAGCGACAGTGTACTCACAACATGAAATAAATCTTAAAAAAAAAAAAGAAAAGAAAAGAAAAAAGAAAGAAACACAATTATTTGGAACAGATGTAGAGTTTGTGGAATTTGGGCCTGGTAACACATCGCTGTAATCCCAAGATTTGGAAAGTACATCAGGAATCCACAGTCATCCTCCGATACTTAAGGATCTTGAGACCACCTGAGGGCTACTTGAGACTCTGTCTCAATCAAACAGGCAAAGCTGTGGAACTGGAAAGCGTGGTGGATAGATGGTGAAATGGTTGATCTTCACTTCCAACTTGGCTGGATTTACAATGACCTTTGTGACACATCGTTGGGTATGTCTGCGAGGTGTAAGTGAATAGAGAAGGCTTATCCCATGTGCTGGAGTCCTGGACTGAAGAAAAAGGACAAAGCAAGGTATGCGATAGCACTCACCTCTGCCTGTTTCCTGTCCACAGAAGAAATGAAAGCAGGGTGCCATGTAACCAGACAGACAGCGCGCTGTCCTCTGATCCGTCAAACAGGCATGATGAGGAGCAGATAGAAGGTAGTCATGAGGACCAGAGAGGACCCTGTAGACTATAAAGCACCCATGAAATCTGAATATAGCCTGAGTTCGTGCCACAGCAGATGGGCAGACTGCAGGTCACACAAGCTCCTGCACAGCCATGCTATTTGCTCATTTATTCTAGGGCTGGGCATTGTCTTAGTTAGGGTTTTACTACTGTGAACAGACACCATGACCAAGGCAACTCTTATAAAAACAACATTTAGTTGGGGCTGGCTTACAGGTTCAGAGGTTCAGTCCAGTATTGCCAAGGCAGGAGCATGGCAGCGTCCAGGCAGGCATGGTGCAGGCAGAGCTGAGAGTTCTACATCTTCATCTGAAGGCTGCTAACAGAAGACTGGCTTCCAGACAGCTAGGATGAGGGTCTTAAAGTCCACACCCACAGTGACACACACACTCCAACAAGGCCACTCCCACTCCAGCAAGACCACACCCACTCCAACAAGGCCACACCTCCTAATAGTGCCACTCCCTGGGCCAAGCACATACAAACCATCACAGGCATCAAATCCGGCACTTTGCACATCCCTACACAGACCAAGCCTCCTCTCTAGTTTCATGAGCACTTTAGTAGCCCAGATTAGCAATCATGACAATCCTACTGCCTCAGCCTCCTGAGTGCTAGAATTGTAGGAATGAGCTGCTGCAGAAGCACTTAGTTAGTTAGTTAGTTAGTTAGTTAGTTAGTTAGTTAGTTTGAGGCAAGGTCTCTTGTAGCCTAGCTGGTGTCAAGTTAGCTATGTAACAGAGGGTGACCTTTTGAACTCCCGTGCCCTCTATTGCTGTGAATAGGTGTGCAGCACCATGCTTGAGTTTTCTGCAGTGCTGGGGACTGAACCTAGGGCTTCATACGTGTTAGGCAGGCACTCTACCAAATGAACTACATCCCCAGCCCATAAGCATCTTAATAAGATCAGCTTTGCCACTGCTCCAGCGCTGGAAGCAACCCCAACCTTACACAATTCAAATTCCTGCCCGGGTGGGGGGGGGTGAGGAGCAAGGTATCCAGAGAGAGATAAATAAACTGAGGTGCGATTGCCACTATAACAAATGAACTCTGGTATGTACACTGGCACCAAGTTCATTTCCGAGGGCTCTCAGAATCATCCAAAGCTGGGGTTCCAGACTGATGGATGTCATGCCTCCATGTACCAGTGTATAGACCCCGCTTCTCTCCTCTTGTGGCTCGAAGATCCTCTAGGGTCTCACCATCCTCTGTATCCAGCCAGGAAACAGCCTGAGGGAGAATTCTTTGAACTCAGAAGTTCAGGGCCCATTTGACAACACAGTGAGACCTTAGGGCTGGCGATGGCGCCATAGCTAAGAGCGGGCACTGCTCCTGTATAGGAACTGAGCTCAGTCTCACCACCCACAGCTCACAACCGCCTGTAACTTCAGCTCCAGGGAATCCGATGCTTCTGGTCTCCTCACATGCTGGCAGACACATTCGCATACCTACACACAGACATGCACACAATGATAACGGCAACAACGACAACAATAATAACTCTGACAAAACAAAACACATAGTGAGACCTTGTCTCAAAAGCTCAGGGGAAGCTGGTGGGATAGCTACACAGAAGGGGTACTACTTGCTACCAAGCCTAATGATCTCTGCATTTTATCCCTGGGACGCACATGGTGAGAGACGAGAACTGAGTCCTGAAAGCTACCCTCTGGCCTCTATGCCGCAGCATGATGCTGGACCCACACGCAATAAGCTCATTAGGGAAACAGACTTTTTCAAAGAGTGTTTCCCTTCACACATATTGAAAGGCTAAGTACTCAGTTTAGAAATATTGGAGATGGAGCCTTTGGACAGAAAGTCCATCACGCAGGAGATGGACCGGATATGATAGGACAAGTGTCCTTTAGTATACAGCAGGTGAGAGTATGCTTCCTTTCTCTCTGCTTTCTGACATGTGGGCACAGCAAAAAGATGGCCGTCTGCAAGCTAGGACTCACCAGACCACAAGTGTGTCAGGGCTTGAGCTTGGACACGCCACCTCCGGAATGGTGAGAACCAGACATTTGTTGTCCCAGCCATCCGGTCCATGGCGTATTTTTCTTAATAATTTTTTTTGGGGGGGGGGTTTCG